ACATCGTTTTAACTCAGAAAAAACTAATCGCTAAAAAAGCTTTACACGAATTCAGACTCCTGTTGTCGGAGTCGACAGCGATGAACAGTGAACCATGCATTCTGAAGCGGTTGAACACTAACGGCGAAGAAGTTCTTGAAGCTGGTGCAGGATTTATGGTACGGTTGTTATTTTTTCATGCAGAATATCTTAGAGTGAGGAGAGATCTTCCGAAAACAGTATGATGAGAGGAAATTTACCTTTAGAGTAGCGCGATTCTTGAATACCACGAAAGCATCAAGAAAAAAAAGAAACTAAGGAAGAGCGTACAATATTAATGAGGCATTGTAATTATTTGTTACTGTTCAGGAACCTTACCAATCACAGTCATCTTACCTTTTCATCTTTGTCATTCACATGGGTGTTTAGTTCTGAGGCCGAAATTTCATATGGGAAAAGAATCATGCATGAGTTAGTTATGTAGGTTTAAATAACCCAACAGCGATCATCATACACCAAGAGAATCATGACCAGAAGCTCGAATTTCATAGCATGAAATATCCTGTGGGGTTTCTCAGTGATGTTTAACCCATTCCACACATGTGGACACTATTTTGTCCACGGAGTCAAACGACCGCGTGGACTCTATGGCATTCATATTTACTTCAGTGGTTTCTTCTTAGGCCACTTCTTAGTTTTTACGGCAGCATGTATATTCTTTCGGTAGCCAATCGAAAACATATCAAGATAGGAGGTTTGAGACTAGAAAAGGTAAAAAACCTGTTTCCGTAAGAGTTCATTGATCGGTAACTTAGCTAGCAACTAATTGCTATTTCATTTTAATCGCGATGTTTATCGTATGGAGCGTACGAATATAAAACAAAGCTCTGAAATAGACTCAGCATAAATTGCAAACTACTTGCAAACACTGACAGTATTGAATTTGCAATATGAACCATAGTAAATAAAAAAGGATAAATCTCTCCACATTGATCAATCCCTGAGGGATGCGCAGTGCATTCGACTTCATTATGGAATTTTTAAAGGTGATGCAATGCATATCTGGTCTATACGGTGACATGCGGTGGCCTACTGATGCATTGGCTCAATGTGTACTAATTTGCCGATCCTGGAGGGATGGAAGGCTTGGCGAGCCTGACGAGCGGGATCGGTCTCATGTGTATTGCGGGGTGTTCCTAACCATTACGCTATATGGGCCATGGTAACACACGGTAAATAATAACATGCACATACTCATCAAACAATAGCACAAAGTCTCTTCTACAATCAATCTTGTAATGTTCGAAATGTCTCTAGTTTTCTATTTACTGAAAAAAGATTTTTTATGACTGAAAAACCAAAAGGCCCTCAAGCGACGAAAAATCGCTCTTGGCTCATTTGGTGATCCAAGCGGTACGGTAGCCAAAGCAGAGTGGGTTAACTCTTCTAGAGAGCGGGTGGCGGAGAGGTAGTGATCCCGCTTATTACGTGAACACCCTAATCAACAGATGCGCTGACTGGTTCGACTCCGTGCTGCTCCCATAGTCTTTCGTCCCTTCGGGTTCGGGTGATGGGTACCAAACTTCCCTGGGACAGGCTTACTCCTTCATATCTGGGAATGCTCCAGCACGGTTATCGCAGGACTCGAGGGAGATTCAACTGAAGCATTGATATTCAACGGCATTTGTGACGAAGAAGAAGAAAAAAATCTTCAAGCAGCAAACGAACTCATACGTAGAAAAGTTTGGTTAATTGGGTGGCACGTGTCGAATTCGAAAATTGGAATTACCACAATGCTGTAGTTATGATTTCGGATCATGCAATAGATAAACAACAAGAAGATTTAGGTAAATTTTTAAAAAAGGAATAACTAAGCGATTTCATTTGCCTTTGCTTGTAAGCACACTCGCAAGGCTCTGGTTCGTTCCCTCCCTGGCCAATTAAGCCTCCATCCCTCCTTGTCTGAGAAATTTATACCAGTCTTCACTGGAAAACTGGTTCCGATCTATAAAGGTACATGGCTGTCCGCCGTGAAGACTGGGGAACGATGTATTACGGCTATCACAGGATTCCGGAGAGAATCTGTTCGACCAGTATTCAACGAGGTTTGTAAAGGGGGTGGGGGAGGGGCAAAAATCCTCTAGCAGCTGGTGAGCTTATTGCAAACCCACACGCTCGTGTACCACGGATCAGAGCGAAACATGAGTTCACTAAAGGAAGTGCACTAAAGTGGACAATATATACGCTACTCTCGGGCTATTTGAAACAAATAAAAATAAAAAGATTCATATTGGTGAGCGCATTACCTCAACAGAGTATGTTATGAAAAGTGTTTCCTACTAAAGCAACTGCTTTTCGAAGTCGTAACAGTCTGTGTAAAGTCTGTAACAGTTCTTTAGATGTTTAGGTCAAGTTTCTAATTGATCGTCAATGCCTAATAGGCGATGAAAGGGACGAATTTCTCAGCTACCTTTATTCGAACTCACTTTGTATTGAAACCTGGGACAGCGAATCATTGATGTATATCGGTGCTAGCTATGTACCGCTTCAGGTAAAACTACATTTTCAAAACTAAAAGAATTCGTTTATTTGCCACTGAATGATAGAATACCCAGTTAAACTTTTATCGTAGAAGAATGGCTTATAATATTAGGTCTATGTGAAATTATTGTCCAATTCGCCTCCCAACGGTTTACCTCCTCATCGTGGTTGGGAGGTGTTTCTAGATGTCGGGCTGCGATGCACAATGGAGGATTTATTTCCCTGACAGGGTCTCCCAAGCTGAGAAGGAGTTCGGCGTTTTCATCAGTAATCCCATCTAAGAGTAAACCAATACCAGGATCCACCACCGTCCTGGTATCAAACCGTTGGGAGGTGAATTGGACATTAATTTCAAAAAGTCGCATGACGGCAAATCTTCCTCTGATCCACAAGGGATACTACTGCCCGTGGTGGTGAAGACCTGGGGCAGACTTTGGCCAGGCTGACCTCGGGACTCCAGGGAACCATAATGGCTTAACTAGCAAATCTCCGAGAAATGGAGATTATGCGGGGACCGCACCACCAATGTGGACGGGCCATTCAAGTACCAAGTAAGCATACTTGATTCAAGCAACTGTTTTATACATTGGTGTATAAAGCTTTTAAAAATAATTATTTATGTAATAAAAGGTCTACCATCAAGTTCCGTTGAGTTTAACACTTAGGAGCGTTTCACTACGGTAGGATGATAAATAATTTTCAAGGATACATCAAGAAGCTTCAAGAATACATGAATACACGTAATGGTAGTTAAGCAAAAGTAATAGTTGTAACTGAGTTGTACTGTCGGCTTCACTAGAATGAATAATTGTAGTAAGCCAAACCTTCATCATTATGTCTTCACAAAGTGTCTCTTCTTTCAACTGTTATCTCACATTGTTTTATATGTGGACAAAGAGAGGAATGATAGCAATTTCTCAACAAATGAGTCTGGTCATTCAGAATGTTTCTCGAGTTATGGATCGCATGATACCATCTGAACTGCTCGTAGTTAAGGAAATTTCTTGCAGAACTTGCTACGAAATGGCAAGGAAGCAGTGCAGTGTACGATTCAGTGTCCAGTCGTGTTCAATGCGTTCACAGGAAAGCCCCGAGTAGCTGCATTGCTATATCTGCGCTTAGCCAACATCGGCCATCCGTCGTCGAATCAGATCGGTAAGCATGCTGAATTTGCGGAATTTGAACTTTGACTTGTACATTTATTTTCGTCAGTCTTTATTTTTAAGTGTTTAGAGCGTCTCCGGATAATTATTCGTGATTAAGTGTACTTTTAATCCTGATTTTTTTATGATTTTCTATTTTCATACCAAGAGAGTCTAATCTCTATACAGACGGGACTTTTTTCCTTGAAGAGGTTTTTTCTGTTAGCTTTAGAACCCTATTATCCATTCCATAGCCGGCTTAGTCTTCGCTGGAGGAGTCTTCTTGAATGTCGAACTACGTAATATAATGGGGTCACTTAAGTTGAGGAGTTTGACATTATCATCAGGAAGCCTAGCTAAACATCAACTTATGCAGTAGCCTGGCGAACTGCTATTGTTAGCTATCTCCTTCCCAGAACCGTGAGCTTTTCTATTAGAAATGTTTGATTCCTGATGACTGCTCCATTGTTTCGTTTTCTTGTTCAGCAATCGCGAGGTTGTTATGCAGCACCCATTTACTTCCATAGAAAAGCACACAATAAAATACAGCAGCAGCTAACGTTTCGGCAGTATCACCTTCTTGAGAGCCTGGAAGGGTATACGGATATACAATCTACTAGGCCAAACGTTTCAATAATACTTACAAAAAGACGAAAAACTCTATGGTAAATTACATGTTCAACAGCTTCTCTTAAAACCCACCTCTTTCTACGTGACTTCCAATGAGGAAGATTAGAACAGCTGATTATAGTCACATATGGTTGATGACTGCACCATCCCACATCAGAAATTGATGCGAACATACGGGGTCAGGTCGCCTGTGACCTCTGGGCATTCATACCTGCTATTCATTGTAGGATTTTTGGCATTGATCCAAAAAGCTTCAAGAGGTTTCCGCGCTGGTGTTTTAGTCTCCTGTGCGAGGATATTGACTCTTACATCAAAATCGTCTCCGCTATACTTTTATATCGTAAACGTGCCTGGTGGGGTACTTTGTCTTCTTTTCGTTTACCATCTAAGTGTTCTTTTATGCGAATACATAAAGGTCTGCCATTTCGCCAATATATGTGTATGGTGTACAACAACCTCGCGATTGTTGAACGAGAAAACGACGCATTTACAGTCCAATGCCGAGATTAATAGAAAGTCGAACCTGGGAACAGTTCCACTGTTTTTCCTAATTTTTTCGTTGAAGTTTTATAGTCACTTTTCTGAATTGTAGATCTGGTACACAGCCGTAACACCTGCCTGGTGAGTCGTCGTCTGAAACGGCTCGGAGAAGAAGGTCCGGACAGTTATCGAATACGTGCAAAACCGTTGAACCCTACTCATGACAGTATGCTACAAAAGTTCTTGCATGCACAGAGGTGAATTAAAGTCTACTTGTAGGAACATTGTTTTCAAATATGTACATTCTATGATATCTCTGTCAGAAAAGAATCCTATCACGAAATCATTGTTTACTATTTAACTTTCTATGCTGAACGTCTGTCCATTCTTTTTTGTGGCATTTCATTCGGGGGTTTTATTTTGCAGTATTAAAGTAGAAATGGTGAAAAGGGATAAAATTATTTGTTGTGAACGCTGATTTTTCGCTTTTAGGCTTGACATCCAACAGAGATATGAAGAAATGTTCAATGAGCAGAGTTACGACCGAATTCGGCAATGGGAGAAGGTTAAACACGGTGTCGTCCCAACGCAGCAAAAGGTGAACTTTATTACTTCTAAACGTCATCGACACTTTCATACTTTGAATTAATGAAAATTCTCGTTATACAGACATCAGTGAAAAAGTTTCTCTTCGAGGAGGAACTGGAAGCATATCGAAAATTGAGAAATCAAAGCAAAGCTTCTAAACTGTTGGAGGCAGTTTTTCAAGGTGAAATTTTCTACACTTAACGCATCCTTCTATACCTAAAACAAAGAGGCCTTCATCATGCGATTTTTGCTAAAGAGCATGTCCATGACCAGTTGACCACGCTTCATTATTGCAGTGTAGTTCTGTAGAAATTCTCATTTAGGAATAACATGTCGACATTATATCTTTCCAAGCCTCGGTGAGAAGGTGTTCTTTGAGTACCTACTTCAGAATACATTTGTTGAACCGATAAACTGTGTTATTGAGATCGACGATCCCTGTCTAAGGTAATTCGAGTTTGAAAATTTACTTCTTCAGAGGAATCAACTGCTGATTATTCCCTTTTAAACTAACAACGGCTGCCATTCCACGCTTCTGACAGCTTTAATAAAGTGATATGTGAAGAAGACAAATAATGGAAAACGATCATATTCTTAAAAGGAACTTTCCCCATCTTGCCATAGTATGAACAAAAGGCTACAGTATCTTGCTAGAGCTGGGCGCTTCTGGTACCGTAAAATTTCTTGCATTTCTCCACACATTTTTAGATGCGCATTTTCGCGGGAATCACTAAGACTTGCATCTCTACAGTTAAAGTACATTTTATTTTTTCGCTCTGTTAAAAGATAAAATGATAAAGTTTTCGGCTTTGATCAATCCCTTAGGGATGCGCCATGCATTCGACTTAGTTAAACATCGTTTGGAAGTGACTGAATGCATATCTGGCCTTTATAATGACTCGCGCTGGCCTACCGATGTATCCAGTCAGTGCTGATATCCTCCCAGACACATCTGGTACCAATTTCTCGACCTCGGAGGGATGAAAGGCTTGGGTGAGCCACGGGCGCAAGGATTAATTCCACCTGTGTGTTGTAGGGCGCCTTCACCCACTGCGCCGAACGCGCCCTTTACGCACTATTATTAGTTAATATTTTTAATGAATTCTACTACTGCTTGATGACATTACAGTATAGTAATGGATGTTGATGAGTGGACGTTTTATAAACGTGCAAACTCATTAGAGACGCCGACTGAGAAGAATTTGGTGCTGAAGAGTGGTAAGAAACTGGAGATTTTTCTGAATGCTATGGAAGCGGTTCATGTACCGTTTATATACGACGATCTAAAAGCGACGAAACTACCCGATGGTCAAGTTTATTCCACTAAGGTAACGGCTTTGGAAATTCATGTGAGCTCAAAATTTTCGGTAGGAGGAACTGTTATGACGAACCTTTATCACTTGATAAATTGAAGAGGGCCAGTAGTATTTTTTTGCTGCTTATTAAGCCTTGATGTTTGAAATATTTCTCTACATTTTTTCATGCCGGCTTTTGATAGTGGAATTTTACGCAATCACTTGTAACCCCATAAATCGTCGAGCAGTTTACGTCATTGCCACCAAAATCGCCATAGATCTTTGTCATTATATATTTGTTCTTACGAACTGCGCCTTGTTTACCGTAATATGTACAGCCATTAAGTGAGCTCCGTTCGCACGAAGCACATGAAAGACATGGTATTTTTGGAACAATGCTCTGTTTCTGTGGTTTCTGATGACAAAGACACTCATGGAAATCACGTAGGATTCTCTGGTGGAAAATCGGTGTTCTTCCGAGTGCTCCCAACGTAGGAAACGGAATTATTTTTGGAGACGACTCCGTTTCTAGACATTGAAGGCTTTTGTATAAATGAACGTGCAAGACAACCGGACTGACCTGGTAGTGCCCCAATAAGCCTGACGACTAGTGAAGTTACGATCCCTCATGTGACGGAAACCATCAGGGTAGTGAACGAAAGATTTACTAAGTACACAAATTGCCCAATATTTACGTTAGACGATTCTCAAGTTTATACCTATTTCAATGATTATGTTGTAATATTTTCAAACAGTCCTCTAAATATTCATTATTGCTCTGTTAAAGGTGCTCTTTCGCCGATGGGATGACTCGTCCGCGATTTCGATCCTTGATCTTCGTGTTGAACGTCGTTCATACATTCTCAACGAAACCTATCGATTCTTCAATGAAGCTGCTTCAAATTGCGAAAAAATCATTAAAATTGGACGAATAGCACGTATGTTTTATTCAGCACTTTCCAGTTAGTACTTAGAATTTTGAATGTCTTCCCTTCATAAATTATGCGGGCCCTGTTCAGATTCCTGCTTGTTGCACTCCCTCGCATTAATCGCTCATAAGGTTGGCTGTGAGGAAACGCGTGTAGCGCAGTTAGAGGCGTCCTGTAGTACAGATCGGTTCGGTCCCACGTCTAAGGCTCACCAAGCCTTCCATCCCTCCACGGTTGGCAAATTGGTACCAAACTTCTCTGCGTAGATAGCAGCACTGACTTGATACATCGGTGGGCCACTTCGAGTCGCCGTATAGGCATGGTATGGATTCAATCATCTCTAACGATGCTTAATAAAGTTGAAGGCATGCATTTCATCCTACAAGGATTGGTCGATGCCGAGTAAGATAATCTCTTTTGTGCTCATCAGCACTGCATAAACCATAACTGGGCAGAGTTATCATACCAATGGGCTTACGGGAGCGAACTACTCGTCCGCTCAGTTTTTAAGTGGCCGCCAGCCACTTAATCATTCTTCTCACCTATATACCAGTGACTCTGGCTGACCACGTAAGCTTCTTTAAAGAAGTTTTAAGTCGAACAACTGTTTGGTTGTTAAGTTTTTTGAAATCTCTCGTAACCACTGATCGTCCTCATTCACAAATACACTAACGAACATACCATTGTAATTAACTTGGGGAACTGTTGCTCGAACGTTTAGTCTCTATCAGTGAAGAAAGCACATTTAGACGCTTTATGTTCTTTTTTTCCAACTATTTAGAAGATCGACGGATAGGAAGCGTACGATGCTTAGATCCCAGCGTCAAGGTCCAACTACAACATCGGGGCGTTGAGCAAGAGGTTGCCGTTACGGTAAGGCTTTCTGATCCCTATTTTACGGTTAGACGATGACGATATTTACAACAATTCTCAGTTTAACTCAATTTCGCTTACCCAGTTTATGAATCCTGAGTTTTTTTTAAAACTCTCGTTGTCTCCTCTAATATCAGATTGATTCAGGCATTTACTGGTGAGCCTACGACGATCAGAACTTTACTGATATTGCTTTATGGAGATCGATATGGCTATAAGTTTGTTTTTAGATGCTCTTAATAGTTGTAGTCTGAAATTTCTCTACTGGTTCAGCTTGTTTAGAATTGTCTCAAGATCAAATAAGCTCTATGCACTCTTTTCTAGATTGCTGTCAACATGGAACATATTCATTCATTCAATGCAACGTTTTGATTTGCATAGTACCACGGGACAAGCCATAAAAATTCCAATCATTCTGAAAAGGTTTGCACTCTATGGTTGCTAGATTTTTGCTCCAAGCAACTTAGATTTCTTCGTATTTTTCGCTATCCTTATGGATATCACTGTTATACTCTGCATATGGTTTCCGTCTAGTTTAAGCTCACACCAGCACCAGAAGTGTTCTTGAGTGTAGAACTGAAATCTACTTCAAGCGTTCATTGTTCAGCGCAGAAACCCAATATAAGAAATAGTCTCACCTCGGATCCAGGATTCCATATAAGACCAAAATTACATCATGGCGGAGTCAAATCAACTACCCATGTCTATCTGCATGCTGGAAGTGCTGAAAAAAATTGTGTCATACTAAAAACGCTTCTTGACCGATAAGCGTGCGTTTTGCACTCAAGAACGTTCTTCTCGACGTGGTGAATGAAACCTACTGCCGCTTCCTCGAGTTTGATGTTTAACGGGGATAACACAGATGTTTTTACCTAGCTATGTATATCTCACTAAGTAAATTACAATTCCTGACGTTGAAAAAATACTAGAAACATAACTCACTTTCTTTTCCAATACTTGCGTTAAATTTGGAAATGCGACAAGTTTTGAAATCAGATGAAATTGATATTAGCTGTATTTGCGTTTTCCTCACTGCATTGTCCACTTCTTCCAAAAGCCGACTAGAGTAAGAAGAGTTCCTGAATTGATAACCAATGTGAACTCACGTGGCGTTAATTTATAGTCCCACTAACTTGCTAAATATATTATGAATTCGTGTAGTGTCAGATCCACATCGGATTTAACAGCATGGAATGTTTCCAGCTTTAAAAATGCAGCAAATTCAAATGCTCTGTAGCAGATTTCAGTGTACGGAGATGTAACTAATGAAACTATCCCTTCTGGTGGAAATTTTTAGACCTGTGGATTATTTTTCATAGGAGGGTAAAAAGATGAAGCTCTCGGCGTTGATCAATTCCTGAGGATGTGCTATGCATTCGACTTCACTAAGCATCGTTTGAAGGTGATTGAATGCATATCTGGCCTTCACAATGACCCGCGGTGGCCTATCGATTCATCGAATCAGTGATGCTATCCTCCCAGACAAGTCTGGTACCATTTTGCCGACCCCGGAAGGATGGAAGGTTTGGTGGGCCAGGGACGCGGGGATCGATTCCACATGTGTGTTGCAGGGCGCCTCCAACCACTGCGCCACACGCGCCATTTTCCATACAGTCTCCAATATCGACTGAAACCTTTTCCAAAAAATCCCTATTATTGTCATATTTATTGCATAAATAAAGCCAGTAAAAACGACTACTTCTGTCGAATACATAACATAACCATTCTATATCTTACGGCCTCACCATAGCAAGCGAGATTTTTATCAACCTTTTAGTTGATAAGATTAGCACTGAGATTATCCCTAGAGCCGTGGCGTCCAACCAGAAAAGAGATTTGATATTTCGACCTATAAAATTAGATAATAGTGAACTAATTGTAGCGCTGCCACCATCGTGATAGAAGCGGTGTCAGAATGTTGTAAATCCTCTTTCGGAAGTCTGCGGATTTTAATAATGATGGCATGGGGAAAACCGCAGCATGACGCTCTCCGGTTTCCAGGAAAACGTTTATGCAGCGAGGAAATCAGTTCCAGTAGTTTTACACTACTTCAGTGTCAATGGACGCTGTGAACTGCGATAGAATCTGGTTTTGTAGCGAACATCAAAATAAAACGTTCAGGACACGAAATGCCAACTATTCCTTTCCTAGCGGAAGATAAACATTTCTCTCTGACTTCATCATTCATGCTGTGTTTCATCCCCCAGATGGCATTAAATTCCGAATGATTATCCCGCAGTACATCATGAATGGAACAATCAAGTCGAACTATTTAATCCGGAATGAAAGTTGTGCCTTCGAAACTATAGACTAGGAAATCAAGACCAGTAGCGATGCCTATCGAAAGATAATGTAGGACTAGGAAGTTTAGAGCAGGGGAACAAAGCAAAACTGGAGCCCCTTTTGCTGCTGTCATTCGAGCAAGCCACATTTTGTGAACCAACAACCATTTTTTAGTGGATAAATGAGGCGCATCGCACCAACGGAGATCTTTGCTTTGCTTTTCTCTCAGTTAGCTCCTTTTTTATTTTTCAATGCCAACTTGTGCTCTTCAAATCATTGCTGTTGATAAGTGATTGCTGATATTAGTGATAGAGTAAAAAAGTGGATGAGAGAAAGGCAAATGAAGGACCCTCGGTTGGTGTTGTGGATAGTACGTGAACCGTTGGTTAGTGTCACCCGTGTTCAAGGCGCAACTAAGGTTCAAGTTTGCACGTCATATCCTGCTGTGAAAAAAGCAACAGCGATTATCTTCAGAGTTCTGTCAGGTTCTGCGTTTTATGTTCAACTGCTATCAAACATGGCAGGTCTTCTTTATTCCGCCCGTATACAACTTAGTAAAATGGCAGCATGACTAAGTGTAGCAGTACTTGAAGTAGATAAACAATTGAAGAAAGCACATGGAAATTAACCTTCATAGCGTTTGTAGTTCGTTGTCAACAGCGATTTGGATCATCGGATCATTAAATTTTCGTTAACGATCGCTATGAAGGTAAATATAATGCGCAGAAACTATGGTTGAACAAAATCATTACAGTCGTCAGCGTCAAGCAATAACTGATTCAGCTTACATACACAACAACTCAGTAAAAACGGCTACTTGCTAAGCTAAGTGGACCAAGTGGCGAAATAGGATCGTGTCTTTCTGTCGAATGTCGTTGGCAGATAGAGATCCTTCGTAGTAGAGTACAATTCTCGCCAGTCCTTAAAACGTCTATCCCAATACGATGGTGTTAGCCAGTAGGTGTCAAGCGTGCGGTACGGTATAAGTCCTGAAACATGCGGTACAGAAGAAAGTCAAAGACAGAGTAATACTTTCCAAACAAAACGACATAGTTGTTGCCTATACAACTAGTTCGTCAAAGTTTAACAATTATCAAATTTGTGATTTGAGTCTTACCTTCGAATCTTAAAAATCCGGAAAGATTTTCTGTTCTTCTAATTTATTTTTCCTCAACATCTTACATGACATTGTTCATGTTTCTTATTTGCGTTCAACAACGCACATTTTATACCAAGTTTTGTCCTAAGAATTCACTCAATATTGAAGCTTTTTTAAGTGATTCTAAAGAACTGCTTCTTTCCTTTTTTCGAAAATATTGCTTTTGCCTTTGCTAGTTATTTTCTTTTCTTCACTTCCTGAACGGCCGCCGTTGCTGTTACGGCTGTTGTTGACGGCTTCTCGATATTCCGCTACTTTTTCATTTACACTGTTGGTATGCCGAGGTCACACACACCTTCTTTTCTGTTTATCTAGTGTACAGGTAAAGCGGAGAAAACGGATTAGTAGTACCATAAATATCGACCTGAACAGATTAATGGTCATTTTGGAGCATATGCTATAACTATTGCTAGAAATTCACGCAAAGGCGGGCATCTGAAGGATCTAGTGTAAATTCTGGCTTGATCCTTTACCAAGATAGTATTTTAATCGTAGTCGAATCGTCTTTTTAATTTTTCTTGTCATTCAGAAACTACACTTAAATCCTACAATACCTGCCTTATACATGCTCAACCCACGGCCAAGAGATGTCGAAAGCGAATCCAACAAGTAGGATCTGCAAATGACCGAATTTCAATGCACAGTGGAATGCTTTTCTCATTTATACCATTATGAAGACACACTTTGGCTTTGGTTTTTCTTCGTTAAGCCACACTACAGGCTTAGTTCGCCTTTTAGGCTACAAAAATCGATATGCCTAATTTTTGGCGTAAATACAAAAAGTGTGTAGTGTATCGTATCCAAGTGTACCTGTAGGGATAGTAGGTGCTGTTGAGATATCTGTAGTACGCAGAATTCCAATAACGTCTGTAATAATATGGATAGTCGTAGTCGTACCTAAATATTGATTAACTTGTGATTGTCACTACAATATCCACGTCCCGAAATCTCTGCTATTAGCAGTACTTCAACTCTGTACAATACGCACAGATAAATGCACAAGTTTAAAGCCTGAGTGGGTGCTGGTGTAGTCTCTTCGGCATTATTACCAAAAAATGATAGTAAAAAGTAAGTTGGGAAATACATATGTCATAAAGATCATTATGTATATATATTTATACCACATATACAGAGCTGTGAAATCAAACAAGAAGACAAGGACGAGGAATGTGCGAAACAGTACAGCTATTCAAACTTGTATGAGTTATTATATCGTGGTTCTATCTTTACTAACTTATTCAAAAACAAGCAGCTATGCAAAAGCAATCAATGAGACCTACCAGTAACCCTTGTAACGGGTCCAGTAGGACGAATATGGGCTCCAGTAGTATGGATTGGGTAAATAGTCACTGTAAGGCAACATATTGTTGACTAAATATAAATATAAGTGGCTTATGACAAAAGTCGCATATTTTCGAGAAATTTTAATCTTTTCCGTCTTTAATTTTATTATTTTATTTGTTTCGTTTTATTAGAACGTAGACTTATAACAAAATTTTAGTTACCTGTAATAATATCGCCTTGTTGGAGAGTAGGTGTAATATAACGGGGAGAAATAGGAATAATGATCGTACCAGTAGTCATCGTACTGCAAGCTTTATGATTTTTCTCAAAATGAAGCTTCATTTCGGTTTTATTAAAACCATGGGCAATTTTATAGTTACGTGCCAAGTCCCAATCCCTTCGCCATCTATACGGTACCGTCTGGTATACGGTGTGCCATTGTGGCTTGTACTTGTCGCTCCAACGATAGTAGCCGCTGAGGTCGCTTAGTGATCGGGTTCTTGTCACCTTTAATGAATTATTTGTATCTCTACCATTGCCTTTCTAATCGGTTGCCAGTTTTACATTCCGTGTTTTGATCTTTTACTGATTTTCAAGGGAATCTTTTTGTTCCTGGGTAAAAATGATTTTGCTTGCCGTTGTTATCCATAAACTGTGTCCTAGTCATATAGCCTGAGAATGAGGATGCAAGTATCTCGTAGATAACCTGCTTTCTAATTGTTTTTGGTCAACCTTAGAACAATGGTGAGTCTACTAGGGGTGAGGGTCCCTGCTTACCATCGTTTGTGAGTGGTTTGATAAAAAGCTATCATGTGGTATGTACATTTTCATTGGATTTTAATTAGTTTTCTAAATGTGAAAAATACTATTCGTTTTCCTTTGCTTTGTTCGCGAAGTGCACGCTTGGAGTTATCAAAAGATCAAAAGATAACCTCCTAAACCTTTGAAGAGTTCTTAAATCTTATGCATGTCTAGATCGACCGGTTTATTTTGACCACACACCGGACCAACGTACCCCTCTATTCTTCCGAAGCCAGAAAATTGGTAACAGTCCCACCTGTAGGCTCCGCCCAATGCACAAAGGCAGAGAATTGTTTTTGGGGACGACCTGAGAAAACTCATGCAAGGTTATACTAGGAGAACTCCACCAGAATTCACCGACGTTAATGGAGATGGCAAATCTTTTCATCTAATAGGCGAATGTTAGCGTAAAGATAAAAACTTTTGTAGAAGACGGATGCAAGACAACAAACCGAAAGGAGTTCTGGGATCAACGCAATACGTGAAGTCGGGTCATGTCATATGAAGCCCAGGATCGTTTTAATTTTTGCTCCTATTACAATTTAGGAGGGGAAGCAATTGCAAGGAATCGTCGTCACTATCGTTGAACTTTGAGATTTCGCATATTTTTGTGAGAACTATGTCATGTGGTCCAGCTGACGTTTGCCCATGCGTGTGTGGGCGACGTGAAAAACATCGCCGTTGTAACAACGTTAGTCGCATGCAATAAAGGTGAAGGACAGGATCGGATATAAAGGAAGAATTCCACATACCCATAAAATGACTTCTAAAAAAAACTTTCGACTCTGGACAATGAAAGAAAGGTTTCGAGATTAGGATTTTATACCAAAAATCGGCTTGAATCTTATCGATTCTATCTGTATATGGTTGCGTGTAGCGCAATGGTAGGGGATGCTCTGCAATTCACAAAGAATTGTCGGTTCAACTGCATCGCTAAGGTAAGGAGATCTCTCCGTCTTTCCATGGTCGGAAAGTTGGTAAATTGCTCCAACATGCATTCAACGGCCTCTATTACGCTATAAACGTAGTCGAATGCAAGTCGTATCAATGGTGGATTGAAAACAACGGTGAATGGTTTATCTTTTTATGCGGTCTGCTTAAGTTTAGTCATGCGAGGAATAAGCCCACGAACAAAAGATGTTTTTTTTTGGGTTTTGTAGATTCAATATCAGCATTTACAACCATGAATGAAAGATGCCTCAATTCTCATTTTAATCGATCATGATGGACTGAATGTGAAGCTCTCGATAAAAACTCCTTAAAATTTGCTTCTGTGATTTATCACTAATACGACAATTGAAATGATAAAATTTCTTCAATGACTTTTGTGAAACGCACCAACTGAGTAGGACTTCTGCCAAGTGACAGTGACCGTGGTAGGATCGCACTTCGGGCGCGAACTAAGGCGTAATCCGTCATACTGAAAACGGAAATAATGATGGTGTGGTGGGAAAGAAATTTTATAAGATCAATGATTTAGATATTCGACTAGAACCAATGTTGGACCAATGAAGCTGTGAGCAGGCTTGCTTTGATCTGTTTAACTGAGAAACAGCAGAACATCTCTGCTTAAATACGGAACAACTCAAGATTACCTTTGGGAGCCAGTCAAATGAGTTTTTGCTTTAATAGAATACACAGTAGTAGAACGATGCTTGAATTATGGCTGGTCCAGCTTCTTCATTTGTTAATATCATAACTGATGAATGACAATTAAAAATTAAAGCAACTCTTAAAACTTCTCAATGACCGGTTATGGATCATTAGAATCGAAAAGAAAAAGAAGTCAAAAGGATTTCGTGGAGCTATCGGCATCGTAAAACTTAAAAGCATCGGATTTCCTTCCGTATAAAACTGTGCTTGATTTTCTTCGAGTTTTGATGAATGAATGCAGAGATCAATTTGGCAACAGAGCGTGGGTAATAGACCCTGCATTTTGTGAAGTCTTAACGATCATTATCGCTTAGACAGCGAAAGTTAAGCTGATCGGTCTCTTGGTAGACACCAGGTGTGAGCCTGACGAGAGGAATTTGTTAGAACTATAACATGTGCTTTTTTCCTAGGTGATTTCAGGAGAAGAGGAAAGCATTCCTTAATTATTACACCAAAATTGGTTCCTTTACAGAAATAGTAAGTCCGTAATTCTGATTTAACTTGGCAAAAGTTTTTCCACAGAGTCCTTAACGTTAAAATACAATTACCACAACAGGAGAGAGTTGTGAGGCTTCACAGTTGGTTAAAAGTTAGAATTTTTCTCGTTAAAATCTCCGATAGTTGAATGAATGCTTTTCTTGGAAATTTTCGTAAAAGATGGACTCATATTCGAATACATGAGTTTGGTAGATTGGCTGGAACCATGCAGGTGCGAGGGTACACAACATATTGGTTACCTCATGCAGAAGTTGTGGAGATGGCCAGAGGACTGAGCGCGTCGCCTGCAATGAGGAGTGCAGGCTGTGTGGGCGAGGTTGGCCGTCGATGAAACTGATCAAGCCTGACACCCGACATCGGCAACTGACACCGGCATCTGATGATGAGAAAAAAATCCTCACTGAGGTGAAGAATGCCTGATAGAGACTTGATTACGTGTAAATGTGAGAGTGACTCTAAGAACTGAACTCCAGTGAGAAACGGATGTAGAGGCACAGATTCCAAGAACCCTAATCACCACGGAAATCTTATGGTTTCTGAGGGATTTTATTTTAGAAGAGAGTTGTGAGGCTTCACAGTAAATGTGTCTCTGAATTGATTATTAATAAGCAGTATATTGAAAACCATCTTCGGACTTTGGATTTAAAGGTCGTTTTTCAAAGTCTAAATTTTAAAAAAATTTGTCGTTGTTTTAAAGTAAAAGCTTAGTTTGAATATGAACAATGGAAATAAGTCAACATCACATAAAAGAAATGAGAACCGACCTTGTAAAAATAGGGCGGCAATAAAAATTGTTATTGAATTCAAACAGCTATAAGCTTTGGGATTGCTCAGCTATAAGTCTGATGTCCATCAAGAAAAATCAATAACTATTTTCTATTTAAAATTACTTTCACATATTTTTCCCAGTTTTTAGCTATTTAATGGTCTTTTTCATGGGCCAAATATGCATTCAGTCACCTCCAAACGTTCTTAATGAAGTCGAATGCATGGCGCATCCCTCAGGGATTGATCAACACTTTATCCTTTCATAAAGAATGAAGCTCTCGGCTTGGATCAATCCATGAAAGATATGTTATGCATTCTACTTTATTAAACACCACTACCAGTGATTGAATCTATATCTGGCCTTGCAATGACTAGCGGTGGCCTACCTATATATCGAATCAGTGATGCTATCCTGCCAGACAACTCGGGATCAATTTTTCGCTCTCGGAGGGAAGGAAGGTTTGCTCAGTCTGGAGCACGGGATCGATTCCATATGTCTTCCAGCGCACCTCTAACCATTGCGCTACACTCAGTCTTACGTATATGTATGTATATGTATATATAAATATATATTTGCGTGTAGCATAAGCACGTGTGTCTGTGTGTTTCCTTGTGTATAAGTATGTGTCGATGTGTATGTGCCGTGTTGTGTTTGTGTGCTTATTCCTAGTCAGCTGTTTTAATTTCTGATTTCTATTTTTTTGAACCTTGTCTCTTATTGCTATAAACACACTTAGTGATCACGCAATCGCATAACCTCCTTCAGCTGAGTGTAACAATGGTTTGTGAATTAAATGAACTCTACCCATGACGTTTTACTAGGCCTAAACTTAGGAATTATCCAAAAGTGTTTTGTTCATATCTCAGCATTCTTATTGTTGTATTTCACATCATACGCTTCCGAAAAAAAGGGTAGGCAAAAAAGTCGCTATAATTTAAAGTTAAAATCTTCATATAATTATTAAGTCGATGTCTTCCTTACAAATAATTGGACGCTCTGTGGATAAGATTCGCTAGAGGAGAAAATATACCAGAAGGTTCTGAACGGTGAAGGTCTCCTCGTTTTGTTACGAAGTTTTTGTGAAAGTGAACATGTAAAATCTTTCAGGAACATGTCCTACCCTATGTATGACTTGTAAACCCGTTGATCAACCAGTCACCTCAGCCTTTACAAGCAAATTCACCGTTCGTCCTATCATGAGTCGGAGTTGCAAGAGAACTCCGCTTCCACAAGAGGCAGAAATATCATCCACTTAGATCACCCACTTTTAGTGCCATAAGTAAAGGATAAAGGGTTCAGCGGTTCGCACGTCTCATGGGGAAGCTCTACGCCTTCGACTTCATTCCTACGCATCTTCGAGGTGATTGAATGACTTGTGGTGGTTTGCCGATGTATCGGGTCAGTGCTCCTACGCTCTCATATAAGTATGGTGCCAATCTCGGATCTCCAATGGATGGTGGGCTGCGTCTATCCTTGGTCCATGGCCGAACCAACAAAGCTGTGTCCGTTACAGTGCACTCTGTTAGATGCGCTGCTGCGCAGTGTAGACGCTTCTGGTATGATGCCCGCTTTCAACGTTTGCAATGAGAAGTTAACCAACCGTGGCCCACTTGTTCTGTTGATGCTTTGCCCATATGCTGACGAGTGAGTATAAGCGGATATTACAGTAAAGAAAAGTAAAGGATGCTGAAGCCATATTTTCACGAGCTGCGCTATTTTTTCATCTATCCGTTTTTATTTCTTCGTGTTATTTTTCATTCGCAATAATATGCATACAAAAAATACTAGGTGAAATTTCATTCCATTC